TTTTTTTTTAAAAAAAAAGGTTGGCAAAAGAGAGTTGTGAAGCCAATTTATTAGTATCTATTATCTATTATTACACCTAAAAAAATAATTAAGGTCATCGTCAGCGCCCTTAACGTCGGCTCGCTCGACCGGAAAAAAAAACGGAACCCGCCCGTCGCTCCAAGGCTGCCCCGTCCGAACAAAATAAAAGGGAAAAGGAAGCCAGAAAAAAAAAACAGAAAAAAAACGTGCAGAGTCCACGACCAATTCAACCGTAAAAATAAATACCAATTCAACCGTAAAAATACATAAATAAATAAAGATAAAAATAAAAACGTGGCAGACTACTCATATAAAATATGTTCTATAATTTAAAATCTAATCTAATTATATTCTCTATCTCTACACCTAAAAAAAACCTAATGTCATCATCCGACGCCAAGATAATTCGCTTCGCCTAGCTTCATCTGTAGCTCCTGCATCACCCCGCCCGCATGGCATCCGAGAGTCCGCGTCGCTCGGATGCCAAGTATTATTCGCTTCACCCTAGCTTAATGGCGAGTCTAGTACGTGAACCCCGCATGCTCCTGTGTCGCCATCCCGCGTGGGTCCGCGTCGAGCCCCACCTCCCTGCAAACAAATCACGCCCCCGTGTGCGCCCTAGCTCCAGCCTGCGTCGTTGTCGGTGGGCAACTGCGACCTGTCGCCGTGCGTAGTCCCGACGTACGTGAGAGCACGCGTCTCGCCAGGGACGCGAGCGACGCGATGCCAGTATGTGCTGGCGGTGGCCGCGGCGCTCGCCGCGTCATGCTCGCGGTGTGCTCCGCGTCGGCCGCGCGTGCGCGCCCTAGCTCCGGCCTGTGCCGATGGCGGCGGGCACCTGCAAACGCTCGCCCTGCTCGCCCATCAGCGCTTGCCCGTGCGTGTCTGCGCCCACTCACCTTGTGCGTGTGTGGGCCGCGCGTCTGCACTCTGCTCACCCTCGTGCGAGAGCAGGAACGAAGGAACGACATGCCATGGGACGAACAGACAAACCTCCTGGCCCCACGTAACAGAGAGTCCGTTGCGTGGTCATTCGCTTGATGTCCGCACGTAACACCATGGCCCATTAGTCTACCACTTCCACGTAGAAGAAGAAAAACTTGGAGCATTTAGAAATAGTTTAGTGGTCCAAATGCAAAAGTATTTATTAGATTTTAATTAATTTTTGAAAATGTAAAGTAATAAAACAAACATATCTATCTATTACACCTAAAATATAACTAACGCTATCGTCTGCCTACCCCGCTCGGTCAAATCCACCGTGCAGGCAGTTTATTTACGAACACGGGCGTAGGGCTGGACAAAATACTCGCGGCTCGTCAACTCGCTTAACTCGTGTCCGGCTCGGCTCGGTTCGTCTCGTTTTAACTTTTTCACTAGCTGAGCTGGAAATCTAGCTCGCTGTTTTAACAAGCCAGCTCACGAGCTCAAACGAGCTGAGGCCTATCAGCTCACGACCATGAATCCAGAAGATGATAATGCTGACCTAGAAGTGTACACATATTTCATTGATATGTAATGCTTATTTTCAGTTGTTTTATATGAATTTTGATTTTATAATTGTTGTGGTATTTAAATGTTGATTTATGAATTGTTTTCCAGAGAGAAGATGATGAGACTGATATTGAATTTGTGGACTTTTCTAAGTCTAGGATGACAAGCAACTAGTAAGTATGCTGGAACTGCATAGATCATGGATGGACCAGCTATGTTGCATGGTTGATACTTTTGATGAACCCGATATGTATTAATCATGTATGGTTGTATAATGGTGGATGTAACCTTCTATAATTATTGTGACATGAACATTATAAACATGTGTGTCCTATTTTTTTTAGCTCGTGAGCTAAACGAGACTGCTGGAGCTCGCTAACGAGCCGAGCTAAGCTGCCCCTCTAGCTCGTAATATTAACGAGCCGAACCGAGCTGGCTCGTTAATCTAACAAGCCAGCTTGAGCTGGACCGAGTCGAGCCGAGCTGGCTCCATGTCCAGACCTACATGGACGAGTGGATCCTACCCCACATGCAATGCAATATGGCCCTTGTTTAGTTGGGTGAATTTGGATTTTGGGGCTACTGTAGCACGTTCGTTTTTATTTGGCAAATAGTGTTCAAACATGGACTAATTAGGCTCAAGACGTTCGTCTCGCAATTTTCCGTCAAACTGTGCAATTAGTTTTTATTTTCGTCTACATTTAATACTCCATGCACGGGCCGCAAATATTCGATGTGACAGGTACTGTAGCAACTTTTTGAATTTTGGGGTCCAACTAAACACGGCTATGGTTTCCAAATCGGTTTCCAGATTTATCACGCAACCGTTCTTCCTCCGTGCGAAACCGACACCGTATCGGCTCCTACGTTGCTTGCCGCTGGGGCCTACGCGCTACGACAGGCAAGGATACCGGTGCCATAGAGATTTTCCAAACGAGGGACACTGCTTAGGAAGATGGAAAGTGCAGACCGAGAGGAAGGAGATGGTGGAGCTATTAAAAAAAATACTGACACGTGAACCCTGCACTGAGCATGTACACCGACACATTGAAGGCGCGCACGTCGGCTAGGATGCGGGTGATGTTGACGCGGCCGCTGGCGCTTAGTCTTGTTTAGTTGGAGGAATATTGAATTTTGGGCTACCGTAGCACTTTCGTTTTTATTTAGTAAATAATGTTTAAATATGGACTAATTAGACTTAAAATGTTCGTCTCGCAATTTCCCACCAAACTGTGCAATTAGTTTTTTTTTGTCTATATTTAATGCTCTATACACAGGCCGCAAACATTCGATGTGATGGATACTATAGCACTTTTTAGGATATTGGGTTGAAACTAAACGAGGCCTTAGAACTCTAGACGCCACGAGGACTGTGGCGTTTGAACCTGAAAACGATGTCGGCGAGTGGACAATGGCAAGGGAGACGACTGGTGATCTCGATTCTGGAACAGCGTGGCAACGAGCTTCACGGAGGCAGGCGGGCAAGCGGCGAAGGTCGGTGGGGCTGAGGTAATCTCGACATGCTTGCGGAGAACATCTGCGAGGTCGGCGCCCGACGCGGCTATGAATGCTGACGACGACTATGGGAGAGGTTGCCGTTGGGACGACCGCTGCCCCACTTGGCCCATCAACCTGGCAATCCCGTCGCTGTATATTTCCAAGCGAAATTCCTGCCTCACTCAAAGACCATAGTGGTTGGCCCATACCAATTGCCAACTATGCGAGGCCTGAGAAGCCTAAGAAGGCCCAACACAATATTTCCAGAGAAAATTAGGTTTACATGTCTAATTGGGGTACATCCTTCCCGTATGAGATTTTCTGATATGAGAGCTCTAAGTAAAAAAGAACAATACAAATCTCCCCTCTGGACATCCTGAGAGTTACCAGCCCTACATTGTACTCATGTTTTCGTATGTCAAATTTCAATATATAAAAGATAATAATATTTATCATAGTAAATATATACCATTAAATTCATAAAGAAATATAGTTTCATACTATATTTATTTGATGTCACGAGCATTAATATTTTTACCTATACCAGATATATAACCATGAGTTGCACAGGGCCACATGTGTCACCGTGGCCCGTAAAAATACATAGCCCTTCATGCAACGCACGGGCATATATCTAGTAACAGAAAAAAAATTAAAAAAAAAGACCACCAAAAGGAAATAAAAAACCAAAGAAGAGTCAAGAAGAGAGAGAGAGAGAGAGAGAGAGAGAGTAGAAAGCACCCTGCAGCTTTCCACCAAACATACCACAGATGGGTGCACAGCGTTTTTAGCTTTCATCGACCGGACCCGGGCACAACCAACATGTCTTCCTTAGTTCAGCTCCTAGGTGCTTTGACTTCTCTATAACATTTGTTGATCACTGTAGGTCTATAATATATAGGTAAAAAAATAACTTTGGCTTTGACACAAATCAACATTGTTGATCACTGTAGGTCTATAATATGTAGGTAAAAAAAATAGCTTTGGCTTTAACACAAATCAACGGGAGAGAGGAGGAGCCACGATTTCCACCATAGTGCCTCTACAGGGAGCAGGTAGGAGCTCCTCCAAACACGCTCTAGGTTGTAACATTGTTCACAACATACCATTGTAGAAGTCGATGTCTTCCTTGATAAACATCACCTGCAGCTCTTGCATCGCCATACTTGGAAGATGAATCATTCTTCAGGTTTTTTTTCAAATATTCCACAAAAATATATAATCCCTCTGTCAAATTTCTACCGATCCTCTTTCGAGACCCTTAAGTCTGCATTCTTTCCTGTGCTCACCCCTCAACAACCACCCCTACCTCCCCAAAAAATGATAATGGATCCCCTTAGTTTTCGAAAAAAAATTGATACAAAAGCTTGTCAGTTGGTTTTTTAATCTTTTTTTCAAAGAAAAGTTTTGTGTGAGCAATTTTTTTTAAAAAAAAAGCTGTACACAAATTTTGTTTTAGAAAATGATAAAGTTTTCAGGTAGACATTTTGGGAGCTTTGTGCAATATTTTAACAAATACAAAAGTTCTTTTGAGAAAAAATTGTAAAATTAATGTTAGAAATGTGTTCCAAAAACCAAGTCGATTTTTTCCCCTAATGTGTCTTGTAAGATTTGGTCGTCATCGGCAAAAAAGTTATACTCCTTTAGGCCACGTTCGTTTCACCGGAAACGGAGCCCCAGGAAGAATTCCTAACTGGATTGATAACTTTAATTTATATAAGGTTTCACCAGGGGAGTTGATTCCTGGCCTTGTAATGCCGTAAACGAACGAGGCCTTAGGAACTTTCAATCCCATTGGGCCTTCGCCCTTTAGCCCGGCCCGGCCTGGCCAGACGCACCGCCGGGTCCGTTCGCAACCTTGCCAGGAGCCCAGGAGAAACGTGTCTGTTCCGCTCCTCGCCGACTCGCCGTCGAACTCGCGATGGGAACCACCACCATGCAATCCGCCGCCGCTCCAAAACCCCAACCCGCTTACACCCTCCCGGCCGATGGCGCAGGCCAGCCCTGATCACCGGGATCCAATGGCGATGACGGTGGCGGAGCTGGAGGCAGCCATCGCCGCCCTGCCCGGCAAGCGGGACGCCCTGCGGGAGGCGTTCGACCGCCTCGCCGCCTGCTCCCCCTCGCCGCTCTCCTTCGCCTGGGAGGACCTCGACGGCCACATCTCCTCGCTCCAGTCGTCAATCGCGCTGCGGTTTCGCCAGCTCCGTGTGCTCGAGGCCGCCGGCGCTGCACCCGCTGCTGCCGCGTTGGGTGGAACTCGCGGCGATGGGAAGGGAGAAAACCAGGAGGAGGAGTTGGAGGAGGACGAAGAAGAGGAGGAGGTGGTGGAAGTGGAGGAGGAGGTCGCGGTGGATGTGGAGGAGGAGGAGGAGAAGAAGGCCGATGAGGAGATACAGGAAGCCCACAGCGATAAGATTTGCAATTATGAAAAGGATGGGAAGCAGGCCAGAGACGTGGAAGTGGAGGAGAAGGTAGCGGAGCTGGAGAAGGCCGATGAGGAGATGCACGAAGCCAATAGCAATAAGATTCGCAATGATGAAAAGGATACGAAGGAGACCAGAGAGGTGGAAGTGGAGGAGGTGGTGGCAGAGCTGGAGCAGAAGGCCGATGAGGAGATGCAAGAAGCCGGCTACGATAAAATTTGCAATGATGAAAAGGACAGGAAGGGGGCCAGAGAAGAGGTAGTGGAGGAAGAGGAAGTTGAGGAGGCAGCCAACGTCAAGATTGGCAATGAGATAAAGGATGAGAAGGAGGCAAGGGAGGAGGAGCAGGCCAGTAAGGTGAACGAGCAGGATCCTGACAAGGAGATTCAGGTGGTTGATAATGATAAGGGCGGGCTGAATACCAAAGATGCTTTGAAGGCTTCTCAGGACAAGGAGGAGGAGGATCAGGATACCAATATGGATGAGACAGCGGCCAAGATGGCGTCTTCAGTGCAGCACAAGGAGGTGGAGACTTGCGACAAGAAGCAAGAGCAGGACGTTCATGAGAAGGTGGAAGGTGCCAAAAATGTTACGGACCAGGTGTCTTCAGACCGGGGCAATCGGGCTGTTCCATGTAGATCTGACGATCGCACTGTAGCATGCACAAACATGGATGCACAGAGGTTGGTCGAGCTCATATGCACCAACACCGAATTCAATTCAGAGTTTCATGCTGCAGTTCGCCGTGCTCCAGATGCTGCAGCACTGGCTCTTCATGTAATTGAGCTATTCCTACACAACAAGATATTTGTTAAGACCAGGAAGGTCTGGGCAAGCTGTGTTGGGCTAGTTCAAATGGTACCTGTAGTTGTTACCAAGCCTTCTGCCGACACGATTGAGCAGGCCAAGCGGGTGGCTAAGGATTGGAAGGAGATGATTGACAATCCAGAGAGTTGCAATGTCGTTGGCAGCCTAGCCTCGTGGGGCCTCCTTAACTTCCTTATCTCCTATAAAATTGTAACTGAGTTTGATACGAAGGAGATCTTCTGTCTCTTTGGTAACATCTCGTTAAAACAGAAGAAGAAATCTACCATGCTCTTAAAGGGTCTTGGGCTCGGCAATAGAATCCCAGGTACAACCACATCTTTCGGCATTATTAACTATAATATGTTCTGCACTTTTGCTCAAACTGTGCTGGGAAAACATAATATGTTGGATCTTTAATATCTGCTCATTACGTAAATTCAGAGTCGTCTTATGGTTTAAGCATTTTATTTTTACGCTTACAGCCTTGTACTACACAGTTCACAGATGACTATGGCAAAAGTACTTATCCTGTTATCCATGATATTTAAAAATTTGCATACTTTTTCCTCACTTCAAGTGAGCAGTAGCAGTCAATGCAAGTCGGTAGCTTAAGATGCACAGAGGACTAATTAAGTAATCCTAGTTTTCATGATGAAACTATCAATAATCTGAGGCTGAGAGTCAACATTATATCACTTACCCGTTTTCGTGTGCTGTTCCCATGTGAACCTATTCTTTGATGCTTGGCTGCTGCCTTTATGGACCTATTCCTTGATACCTACCTGCTGCCAATTGTGCCAGCCTGCCATGGCACCACCTCTTGATCGAAATCACATGCAAGAAATTTTCTGAAATCTGGGTGAAATAACATTTTTGTACATTTCATGGACTGAGCCTTCGCATGACATAAATCCAAGCAGTATAGTTTGTAATATGATATTGATGGATATATTTGATTCATTTGGGTATATTATAGCCTCCTCAGTGAGTATATCGCTGTGCACTTGATCTGTTGATGATTTAGTTCATTGCTGCTTTGCATATTTGCATGCTGAGTCATCAGAATGCATGTTCTGAACCATCATTTCAACTCTGACTCCACCTCATCTGCAGTGTAAGGTCTGCTTGTTAATGTTTTTCCAGCTTTCATCTTTTTTTGTAGAGTTAATGGACTATTTGATCGGAAATGGGCAGCAAATGGATGTTTTACGTTTGGCATGCATTTTTAATATGGTGGACAAGTATCCTCCACTTTCTCTTCTGAAGGGATATGTCGAAAAGGCAAAACAGACTGCTATGGAGATATCTCAAAAGAATATGACACGCCAGTTGGTATGTGCTAGAAATTGATTTTAGTGGCACAATACATTTTTTAAATTTATTTACACGACTGGTTGTTTCACCCAGTTTCATAAGAAAAATTGAGGAAATTTAACGTCTTATGCTTGAGCTATTTGGAGTGGCCTATTTCCTTATAAAGTTTCATTTTGAAACATGTAATATTCTTATGGGGGCAAATATATATTCATAATTCATCTCAATCTGCTTCATCTCTGCTATATTATTAGTTTAATAGTTCTGCATCTTCCTGTGTGCAGAGGGCGGTTATAATAAAGGAGCTTGATAATCTAAGAAGTGCAAAAGTTTTGGCTAAGAAGGAAATCACCAACTCCAACCTCTGTACCAGTATCAGGGAAGAAATCAACATTTTGTTAGGTGAGCTTGAAAAAAAGAAGCGGAGTTTAGCAGATCCCTTGACAGCCTCAACTTCAAATTCACAGCAGCAACAAACAAAGAGTAAGAAGAAGCTCAAGATAGAGCAGGAGCAGGAGCATCACAAGGGACAAGAAAACCAGATGCGAGGGCAACGGAGTGAGCTGGCAGAGAAGCCGGAGAAAAAACAAAGGAAGCCTCAACAGGAGCAGCAACAGAAACAAGAAGATAAGCTGGAAGAGAAGAAACAGAAGCAAGAAGATAAGCTGGAAGAGAAGAAACAGAAGCAAGAAGATAAGCCGGAAGAGAAGAAACGGAAACAAGAAGATAAGCCAGAAGAGAAGCAGCAACAGAACAAACAGAAACATCAGAAACGGCTGAGGCAACGCACTCACCAGCCACCAACACAGGGTTATCCTGCAATGTGGAACGCGGCACTGAGAGGCGACTTGGAGCGTCCACCATATGCCGCAATGCATGGAGTCCATCATGGTTACCCTGCCCAGCCAGGCTGGCCTGGAGTTCATGGTGCATCGCCGTTCATGCCACAACTTGGAGCACCTGACTTGGAGCGTCCACCATATGCCGCAATGCATGGAGTCCATCATAGTTACCCTGCCCAGCCAGGCTGGCCTGGAGTTCATGGTGCATCGTCGTTCATGCCACAACTTGGGGCACCTGAGTACATAGGACCCTTTACACCCTTGTACCCTCGTCCGCAGTTCTATCCCAGGTAGCAGTACCTGCTGTGTTGGGGGGTGTTGCTCAGTCGCCCAGTGGAACATGGATTATGCGCAGGAGTTCAGTTAGGACTTTGGAGAAATAGCCTGGTATATTTTGGTTCGTTTGTTTGGTACTGGAGACTGGAGTTGTTTTTCTTCTAACCTGACAGACTGACATGTGTATATTCTTCTGTGCGTCAGTCTTCTTAGAGAATTTCAGTGATCTGAGAGAGAGCTCCTGTTATATGTAGGACTCACTCCGTCCAAATTTTTATTTATTCTGTCTTTTCTATATCTACATGTAAAAAAAAACTATATATATTTAGAAAAGTCAAAACTACTTATAATTTGGAATGAGTGGAGTACTACATATATAATAGGAACTGGCTGCAGTTGGAACTTGAAGTGTCTGCAGACCTGCAGTTGCACATTTCACACAAACCTTTGCGGAAAGGGTTCGCGTGCGCCGTGCGGCGTGTGATGAGTAGCAGCCGCAGCCAACCTTGCCGGCGACGGATGGTGAGTAAATTTGATGATCTTCATCATAAAAGGAGCTACTACTCTCTTGAAATTAAGTAAACGTTCTGTTCGTTTGGGTTTGTTTGGTTGATAAGTCATGGCTAAAAATACTATTGACTGATTTGGTGTGAGAGAAAAATACTGTGTTTTGTTACCTTTGCCACGTAGGAGTAACAAGTATGTTTTTATTTTATTTTATAATATCTATATATCTATTATATATACTACTCACTCTATTCTAAATTGTAGATATTTTGATTTTTCTAGATATATAACTTTTGCTATATACTTAGATATACGTTATGTCTAGGTACACAATGTAAATAATGTATAAAAAAATCAAAATGTTGTAGTCTTAAATAAGAGAAGTACCTCCGTCCATAAATACAATTATAGTTGCATTTTTGGTGAATGTGTCTAAAATTTGACCAAATATATAGATAAAATATTAATGTTTATGATACTAAATAAGTATATTTTAAAAGTATATATCTCATAAAAAATCTAATGATATTTTTTGGATATTATAAATATTGATATTTTTTATTTATAGTTAATAAAACTCAAGATACTTTTTACTTAAAAAATTGTTATAGGAGCACGGGGGCATGGCGATACCTGCAGCAGTGACAATGTGGCCAAGGTAGTTCACCGAGGTTTCACAAAAAAACACTTGAGCGTTTGGCGAAGAGGTGGTGCACACGCATTTGCTGTAGCACTGTCCGGACGTGCTGTAAAGGGCTGTTTGGATGCTGCCTTCCAGGCAGCTCCGGCGCCAGGCAGCGTTCCCAGGCGTCCGATTTTGATCGCCTGGGGCTGAGATCAGTTGCCTGGCAGGCACGTCCAGGCGAGGGCGGCATCCAAACAGCCCCTAAGTGCTCCGTCCAGGAAGAACCGAAGATCAAAATATCATAAAAAACACAAGCACATAGCGACGGAGATACGGCTTCAAAATGTCATTCATTAGTGCTTGAAAAGTAGCAGGAGCATTAGTGAGGCCGAAAGGCATGACAAGGAACTCGAAATGACCGCGGTGTGTTCGGAACGCGGTCTTGGCGATGTCGTCGGGGTGCATGCGCACTTGATGGTACCCGTTGCGGAGATCAATCTTGGTGAAGAAGCAGGCGCCCTTCAGCTCGTCAAGAAGCTCATCGACCACCAGAATAGGAAACTTATCCTTGACAGTGCAGTCGTTGAGAGCCCAATAGTCGACGCAGAAGCACCAATTGCCGTCATGCTTGCGCACTAGGAGCACCGGGGAGGAAAATGGCGATGTCGACTCTCGGATGATCCCTTGTGACAGCATATCATCACACTGCCGCTCAATCTCGTTCTTGAGAAGCTGTGGGTAACGGTAAGGCCGCACAGCGACGGGAGGCGAGCCTGGAGCGAGGTGGATACGGTGGTCGTGACGGCATCCCGGGGGCAGACCACGAGACGCCTCAAAAATATCCGCGTAGGACAGCAGCAGGTCTTCCAAGACGGCGCGGGGATCGACAACGGCCATGCCACTGCTGCCCAATCCACGCCATTGATGTGCACGACCATTGAACCAGAAGGCCATCGAAAGGGCGTCGAAATCCCAGACAATGGGCCCCAAGGTGCGCAGCCACTGAACACCGAGGACGAGATCGAAGCTGCCTAAATCAAGGGCGAAGCAGTCGACGGAGAAGCGCAAGTCATGGATGAGGATGTCCGTGGCGAGGCACACTCCGGGGCTGCACACGCGATCACCGTTGGCCACCATCACGGACAGTTCAGCACGCTCGGTGACCACCAGGCCTAAACGAGCAGCCACCTCAGAACGAATGAAGGTGTGCGTAGAGCCCGTATCCACCAGGGCCTTGAGCTGGACACCACCGATCACCACCTGCAGCATCATGGAGTTAGCAGGTCCAAGGCCGGTGAGGGCGTGTAAAGATATCTCCAAGTTGGTGACATCTTCGCCGAGCGGGTCCTCCTCGCCTTCCGCAAGCTCCATGAGGAAGACGCCCTTAGCGGCGCACTTGTGATCCTTGGAATAAGGCTCCGGGCAGAAGTAGCACTGCCCGTTCTGCCACTTCTCTTGCATCTCAGCTTGTGTGAGGCGACGAAAACAAGAACGTGTCGCGTCCGGCTTGCCATCCTGTAGACTGGCACCAGAGCCTGCAGCACTGGCAGAAGCAGAAGCGCGGCGTGTAGAAGACTTTGGTGCCGCCGAACTGTTAACAGTGGAAGCCTCCACTTGGCGCTGCTCGTATGCCCGTGCCAGACTCATAGCTTGCTGCAGGTCTACAGAATGCTGCAGTTCCACATCGGAGGCCAACATCTTAAACAAACTATTAAATCATGTCATGAGTATCATATTTATGTAATAATGCATGTGATAGAAGGTGTTGATAAATTTCTTATAGCCTAAAATAACCATTAAAAATGTTAAATGAATGTTGATTCAATAGCTCATGTATATCAAGTAGGATTAAAAATCAATTTTTATTAAGCAAAAATACTATAGAACATATGTGTGATACTTAAATAAAGTTTGAAGTACTAACTTTATAGATGACAATGAAATACTTGCTATTGAAAAATATTGTTACTAACTGATATTTCTACCAGCCTAGAAATTACAGATTGAAATCAAATTCAGCTCAAAACTTAGAAAACTTTTTAAGTTTGTCAACAGCAAGACATTGCTATGTTTAACAAATTATTTTGAGAGATTGGGTTAAAGAGTGGTGTAGTGCTATAACTCGATTTGGTAGTCTCATATGCCATCTTGAGCATGATGAAGATAGTTTAGGTCCAGAAGCAACCGTTTAGTTTTTATAGACGCTTTAAAATTCGTGCACGACACATTCTTGGGCTGGCTTGCCGGGTGGACACGGTCACCATGCTCGGGCGCTCGGTGTCACCGCGCTACCGCGCGTGGCCGGCCGTGGCTGCCTCTGGCCCGGCTGCGGCCCGGTCGCCGTTGGCCCCGCCACGCGGAGCCGCCGCTGTTGTCGCCTGCCCCACCCCGCGTCGTGACGGAGTCGCTGCCGGCGCCATCACCTTGTCGTCGCATCCACGCTATCTGCAATCCTGCGCCGCTGCCTAGCCCTGTCTGATGGCACAGTCTCTGCTGCGTGTGTGCTGCCGGCTAGGCCGTGCACGGGGCCAAGCCGATGTCGCAGTGGCCGTCGTCTTGCCGACGTTGCACTGTTTCCGCCGCTTGAATCACCTACTCGCCGAGCCGCTGCCTGCCTCCGTAGTCACATCGCACTAATGCATGTGTCACGGTGTCACTACCCGCCCTCACATCGTTTTGTTGCATCGGCCCTGTGAGACGGCCCCGCGCGCGATCGCTGCTTCGCTGTAGCCCCGGCCTGCCCTTGTCGCCGACAGAATTGCCCACTTCGCACGACAAATACGTGCGGTTCGGGACACCACACCTTAATTTGGCGTTCCAGTAGTTAGACAGGAAAGCCAGTTAGCAGCTTGACCCTCACCTTGGCGCAACCGAGCACTACTGGCGGCCAATTTCTGATTTTTCTCGCCGCTGGCCAGGTGCGCCGCCATGCCAGTGAAATTGGGGTAATGTCCGAATTTGTTCAATTGTTTGTATCCATGAGCTCGCCTTGACCTCCTCTATCTGGCACTCGTGCCATTTGGCCAGGGTGCTTACCGAAGACGTGGTGACGCATGGGTGTCCATCCCGGAGCATCGCTGCCCCGGCGTCTCGCACGTGGCCAGGCCACCTCGGCACTCCTTCGCTTTAAACGTCACCCCAACATGAATTCCGGTGAGCTACTGGTGCTTGCCCACTATCTCTACCACCCCGATAGAACCTTAGGTCGCCAGAATAGTCACGCCGCCGCCTTGGATAGCCACTCGCCGCTGTAGCCCGTGACAGTGCACCTTCGAGTCCCTAACCGCCATCCATCCTTGCGTGTTTAGCTGTAGATGGTGGTCAGCCCCTTAATCCTATGAGTCCCTAGTATGTCAGGATCGTGTAGATTGCTATGCTATAGGACCCGGTAGAAGTCGAGTGATTGCCTATTACTCACGAGAGATAGGAAAGATATTATTGTTGTTATTATATTACTATCACATGTGATATATTGATTCGCGAATCGTCGTTTCTGTGAGACGGTACCGACTTGGCTATGGTCTAGCACCATAGTAAGAACTGGAACTTGAAAGGTGATAAAATGGTTCTAATTGTTTACCACCTACTTGAAAGTAGCATAGGTGCTTACATAGAATGGATAGTCAATGAACTAATGATGACTGCTAATAAAATTTAATATAAGGACGCACATTTAGTAATGCTTCCTACAGATGCAATAACCCACAAGGCCATGGGCTCCTTCTCGCCCGACCCCTTGGGTGCGGGTTCTATCTCGCCCGACCCCAAGGACGCAAGTTCCATCTCGCCTAAGGCCGCGGGCTTTGTCTCACCTGACCTCGAGGTCGCGGGCTCCGTCTTGCCCAACCTCGAGGCCACGGGCTCCGTCTCGCCCGACCCTAAGGAC